AAAAAAGCAAGTTCAGCCATCAGGCCTTCTCAACATTTGCTCACCATGACTGTTGTATGTCCTTTCTTTTAAGCCATAGACCAAATGGCTCTCAACTACAGTTTATTTAAAATATTTTGTGTTTTCTCTTTCTGTGCATTAATTTAAGTGCCATTGACAGGATTATGGTGAAGGCAGGGTCTTTTGGTTGGTGTTTTTTTTTTTTTTTTTTTAAATCTGCGTCCCCCTCACTATCCCCTTGCCCCCAGAATAATGCAGATGTGGCTTTTGAACTCATTTCTGCTTCCTGTTTCCATTTTAAGGGTGTTTTGCATTTGGAGCAGGGTGGTGGAGGCACCTCTCCCAAAGTAGCGGGAGTACTCCCAGTAATCTGTGGAAGCTGGAAGTGCAGCCTGGGGCTGTTCTGGGTGAGGGTTTCCATTTGAGCTGCTTTCCCTGAGGGCACCATGCAGATGAACCACGTGTGCTGTCAGGAGCTGCCATTACTGAATAGTGTTTCTGCTTCTTGGAAAGACTGACTGTGCTCTGTAAACAAATTACTTTTTATCTTGAGGGCATTGTCTGCTCCCAGTTACAGACTACTTAGTGCTGCTGTCCAGGATGCACTGACCAATTCCTTTTTTGCCACGAAGGGGATGATGTGAGTTTTAAGGGGAAAATGGTGGAAATGCATTAAATCTAGTACATTGCTGGTATATGTACAGAGCATGCCTTGTAAACAGGGACTGTCTCCCTGACATTTCCTTCCATGTCATACTTGCACTACCTCACTTAAATCAGCCAGGAACTTTTTCTCCAAGTCTTGAAAAGGACGTTTTTCCTGTCACTCTGAGGGGTTATAGCCCAGCCTGATTTATGATGCTGTTACTGTAAATGACATAACCATGAGCTGGATTCTGACTCCTGGGATGGTGTCACCAATCTGGACCTGCTGGTTTACAAGCATTGTGGAGAGATGTGAGAGCTGACAATGCAATGAGATGAGAAAGGTGAGAAACCAAGTTTAGGAAGAAAACCACTTTTTAAAGCTAAAAATAGATTATTTCTTTCCACATGGAATAGTGGAGATGATTGTTTGGAATACTTTTTGTAGGAAAACCAGCCTGCTAAGTATTTCAGAGGTGGATATTACCTGTTTGTTGTGTTTTTTAACCCCCACAAGCCTTTAAGAAAAAACAAACAGATAAATGGAGAGGAGGTACCAGTGCTCCATCCTATGTTCTGCTGTGATGGGGGATGGGATTTCTGGCTTGATGCAGCCTGAAAACAATTGTATGTGTTGGCTGCTACTGTGGTGGTGTCTTGTGTGCAGTTGCATGGTGTCAGCCAGGAGTCCCTCAGGATTCAGCAGATTTGATTCCTTTGGCATGTTCAGACCTGTTTATCATTACTTTTCTGGCCATGTTACTACTGACACAGCAAAATGATCAGCAAGGACTCAAAGGATTTTTTTTCCAACTGCATGTAATGGCTGAAAAACAACAGGAAGATATTTTTTTAATACATTACAAAAAAAAAAATGTATTTTTTGGTAATGTGTTAAACAGGACCTTAAGGTACTGTTTTGTGCTTCTCATTTTCCTTGTCTTGGCAGTGAACTGGTTACCATGAATTTCTGCTATGAAGCAGTGAGGAAGAAGGTGAGGTTTGTTTCCACTTAAGAAGTGTGAGGATCTGGAATGTTTTAGTGCCCAATGGGTCAGTATTTATTACCCAGTGTCTCTCACTAAAAAGATGGGGTTTGTTGGCTTTTTGGTATCATAGAGCTTCTGATATTACACAAGCTTCTCTTGGGAGGCAGCATTTGATTTCATAGCTTTGAAGAGATGTCTGCAAAGCTGGTAGCTTCTGCATCCATGTGCTGTCAGAGAGAGGTAGCAGATTTGAAAACAGCTCTTCATCAGGTAAGGACGTCCTATATTTGGAACTGACCACAGCAGGTACTTTTTTGTCATTAACATCAGCAGTAGGAACTAGTGCAGTACAGAAATTAAGCAACTAGGGGAGGGAAGGAATAGATACTGAGACTCCACAGTTGCCTTTCACTGCCTTAAGTGACAGACTATTACCAGTCAAGTAATACTGATACTTACTGAGCCCCTCCCAACATTTATTCTTCATACCATGTTTATTTTTACTGGGCATCTCCTCAAAGATGTAACATAGTCTGAGGTAAAGCATGAAGTAATTGTGTGGCAACCTATAACGAATGAAGAGCAGGAAAGTGTTTAAGTGAGCAGCACAATCATTGGTCCTGGGACAGATTCTCCACCTCCAGTGGCAGCATGTGAAAATTGCTGCCTTGCTGCTGCCAGGGTTATTTGTGAAGTGTCTGGTGGAGGGAGAGCTGTGGGACTGTTTTACAATGCTCTCACAACTGTGACTATTCAAACAATGTTTTTCTTACAGTTTTTACTGTAAGGGCTGCTGTGCCAGGTACACCTGGACTGAAGGGGCAGAGCCAAGCTCTGCTATGGCAGGCACAGCAGCTGGAAACCACTGCTAGCAGCCAGGAATGGCCCCAAAGTCACCACTGTTGCAAACCAGTAAGAGTGAATCTCAAACTCCAGGCTGGCTGTAAGCTTTAGCAGCACATTGCTTTGATGTTGTTTCAAATGTAAGTTAAACAGCACTGTTACTCTTCCAAATACCAGCTCTTAAGGTCTGGAGGAGAATTTTTGATTTTTCTTACCCTTGTACCAGCTTAAGGTCCATGAAACCACTCCAAATCATCACAAAGAAGAAAAATAAGTAGTACATTTATTGAATCTCCACTTACTGCTACTTCTAGCTTTTATTCAGACACATGTGCTCAGCTTCGAGAGCCAAGAATTTCTTCATTATCATTCAATGTGAATGATGCTATACATTAATCAAGTGCAGGAAGTTGGGCTTTTCTCTCTAACAGGAATGAGAGAGGGGTTTCTAGTTTTTCCATCTGTTTTTTTGGCTGCACAAAATAACCCTTTCCAAGGGCACATGAAATAAAATACTATATTGCATACTATATACATTTACATACAACGGTAAATGCACCATTCATTCAGAAATACACAATACCTAAGGCTCAATGGAAAAGCTCAGTTAAAGCAACTTCTCTCTGGCTGGGAGAAGTGGCTTTTGACAGTTGTGGAAGTTCCCATAATCTGTTCATGTGGATCCTGCCCCCCCTGCAGCTCTCTCCAAGGACCACCTGTGCCTGGGAAGGAGGGGATGGCCCATGCCATTCCAGAAGCCCACGGCTGAAAGAAAATATGTACAACCATGATGGAGGATTTCCTCTGAGAATAATTATCCAGCAACTGCAGGAGGAGGCAAAGTACCTTAGTGTACTTACTTTACCAGATGCAGAAGCTCCTCTTGGGCATAGGAAATCACTTCTGATGCAAAGCTTTCCCTTTGTATTTGAACAAGACTTACTTTTAACTGTTTTGCTTTTCTCCTTGGATTGGTGGAGTGCAAGATTAAAACAGTGCTAGCACCTGGATTATGTGGTAGGGGCGCTGGAACTGTTGGATTTTTTTTTAAGCTGATCAGACATGGGGAACTGAATTGCCTGCTTTCAGCTCTAGCATCAGCTTTATTCTAGAATACCTGAGCTTTGCCTCTCCTGCAGCTGTGCTGCACTTACACACACCTCCCAAGTGCTCTACAGGGACATTACTGCTCCTTGGTTATCTTTTGAAATGTCTAAAGTCCCTGCAGAGAAATACTTGCCATGTTGCCACATGTGGCAAACCTTTTCTCTAAGACAACAAAGCAATTCATTGACGAGAGCCACTGTATCACACGCGAAGCACTGCAGATAAGGAGAGACAAGGTTACCTGTCTCTCCCTGTCCCCGCAGGTGCAGTCCCCACCATCCCCACGCAGCGGCACTGTAAGCAATGGGCACGGGCAGGAACAAGGCGTTCTTGGGCTTCGCTATGCCAAATAGACTACGGATAAAAGCTGGCCTTCACTGCACTAGATTCCCCTTTTATTAGGCTGCTGCTCATTTCTCAGCAGTGGGCTCAACTGTTTCCCCTCTTCAGCCTTTATTTCTGGGCTCAGGAGGAGTAACATATTAACTCGTGCTCATGCCTGTTTCATAGACTGAGAAAAGTAATTTAAAAATGCACAAAGGTTAACTCTGCTCTCTCCCCTGCTCAAAGTAGGGTAGGCATTCCAAATCCTTCCTGTAAGTAAAAGTCGAATTGTAGTAGCACACCATTAATACTCAAGAATGTGACTTGCACTCTATGCCCCAAGGCAGTGTCGGGGCAGCTTCCCTTTCCAAGGATGGGGAAGGCTCCACATGCACATTCTCTGCTCCTGCTCCTTTGTCCGGTTGTTTTGGCTTGACAAGAGATGGCATCATAGCACAGCTGGAGCACCACACATCCCAGTGGCACTGGGGGCAAGGGAGTCCCTCTCAGCTCCAGCTGGAGTTTTGCAGTTCCTCTCGGAGCCAGGTTGGAAGGGGCTGCCCAAGCCTGTTCATCAGCTTGGATAATTCAATGTTGTGCTCCCGGTAGAAGTCTCTTAGAAAGAGCCGTGACTGTGTGGAAAAAACAGACCACATGAACATGAAAGAAGATGTTACCCTCAACGCTTGTTCCACAGGTCATCTAGGACAGATGGTAGGAAAATCCATGTGGGTTTGCTGGGATGTTTCTACATCTCTTGTTGCCAAGAGATTTGAGACAGCTACTCACCAAGGAATCCATATCAGGATATTTCCTTCCTTTACTCTTTCCTAGGCATTTAGTCTTTCCTCCATCTAGCAGCTGGCACCAAAATCCTTTTGCTTCATCAAATCTGAAAAAGACATTTATCTTTGAAAGGTACAGCCACTTATCAAATTAGCAGCAGAATAAATTAAGTCCATAGTTATTTCCTATTTCAGTGCTTTACCTATTTATTTTGTGATATTGGTTCATTGAGGTCTTTTTAGCACTGGACTACTTTGACAAGAACTCCATTACAAACGTGACTATTTCAACTTTATGCAAATTTCAGAGGTGACATGGTTACACCATTTGTCTGTTCAGCTGGGGGGAAAGATAATAATCAGTTTTTTAGTGTATGTAAATTCTTTAAATCTCCTTGCTATAGCTGAGTATCAGAGAATCCCCTAAATGTTTATAAAGAGTCAAGTGTTTCTTTTCTTGTTAAAACACAGGCATGAGGTAATGCTGGGAACCATGTCTGAATCTGGCCTGGTCTATCCCTTCAGATGGCTAAAGGTGAGCTTGAGGTTTGAGCAAGTCCCTCAAATAAATGTGAGGCAATTATTTTCTGACCCTGGCTGACGGGTACCAGCCAGTGCCACTACCATAAATACTCCATTCACCATCAGCACATGTGCTGCAGCAAGTAAAGCTTTCAAGTAACCTGACATTTCTCTAAATATGTTCCCCCCTGAGGAGCCATGTGCCACCCGTTGGAAAACAGCTATAATGGGAGAACTGAACTGTCCTGTCTTTACTGTGAAAGGGCAATTGTTCTGTGCCTACATGTACATGTGCATGCATCCTCACCCACCATCCTCAGCTGGCATAGGTGTGACAGCAGAGAAGATGTGAAAACAGACTTCAGCTGCAAAGAACAATATTCAGCATCTTCAGTGGGCTTGCAGAGTTTCCACTGAACACTGGTATGGCCACAGTACACCTTCAACAGCACTTAATCTATTCAGACTCGCTGCACATGCAGTGCACATGCAGTGTGGGCAAGATCACAGTCATGGCTCAGCAACTGTAGCAGGGAGGTGGTGCCTCTGCTAACACTCCCTCACAGCTCTGGGCACCTGTCAAATCCACGTCATCTCTAATACCTCAAAACTCTGTAGTGTGGCCCTAATCGCCATCTGGGTGAAGGTATAAGCAGATTGTCACACATTTTTTATCATACCTTCTCTGCTTTTTGTCAGATACAGGTATAACATAAAGCATAAGGAGTCCTAATAATTCCAGCACCTTTTCTGAAACACAAAGACCAAATGGAAAAAGACATCATAGTTACTGCTGTGAACAACCTCAGACTTCTCCATGACAGCGGCAAAACCTTGTCCTTCCCCTATAATTTCAGGAAACACCAAGGTATGATTCCAGTCTCCACAAAGCATCTCATGCTATCTGAATCTAATTTTAGGGTTAGGCATAACTGTGAAACCTTGGCAGGTCTTGTGATCAGAGAACGAAGCGTTCTTTCAATCAAGAACTTCCCGGCTGAGAAAGCATCCTCCCAAAACCGAGTTATTTCCCTACCTTAGGGCCTGGGTGTAGTTGAAGAGTGGTGTAACTCCCAAGAACTTCTGAATGTTGTCCATTACAGAGGCAGGGTTGTGTCTCAGCTCCTGACCATCCACAATAAGAAGCTGAAAAGAGAACAGCTGCCTTAGCCTCTGCCAGCTTGTGCTGACTGATACCTGTGAAGTTCCTCCATCTCCAACTGCCCCAGCCTCTGAGTACAGGCAGCCAAATGTGTCTGTTCTAGAACAACACAGTGGAGGGATGTGGCCCATTTGTCACCACAGATAGAGAAGTTATGAAATGGGCCACAAGTACCATAAAACAGTAAATCATGACAGGCTTTGCTTAATAAAGTTGTCTTTGGCCAAATGCCCTGTAACAAAGCACTAAGGCCCAGCAGTAGGACGTACAGATTGTCTCTGGAAACGTTTTTTTTTTCAGATGTCAGCAGCCATTGTGCTAGGTATGCTTCTGTGACCTGTGACAATTCTACTGTTACATGTCTCATAGACAATGAACAACATTTGAGCTAATAAATTACCTACTCCAAAGAACAGAATGGAGCGATAGTCACATGAACTGAAGACTGACCTGCAATAAGTACAAGGAGGTGTGTGTTTGGCTCCATCATTCCTCAGCAATAACCTCCAGGAATAGTAAGGCAATGAGATACTAGCCTAAGAATGCTTTACCATCTCTCTTTTAGTCTTGGCAGATCTGTCATGTACAGTTCAGGCTCTGCTGCTTTGGCAAAGAATAAGAGACCAAATGGACATTATAAACCTCTGCTGGATTACAGACTGTCTTAAGAATAACCCCAGCAGCAGAAAGAACTTGAAAAAACATCCTGACTCACAGTAATCATATATATATATGTAAATAGATATCTATATATCTATCTTAGACAGTTTAGAAACTTCCTGGGAATTTAGAGACCAAAATAGTCTACACTGTCTATTAATCTCCCTTTTCGCAAATTTATATACAAAACACCAAATCCTGACATCTCTGCAGTGAACTTTCCCTTTAGCAGACAGCTAAAGGCTTCACAACATAGGAACTAACAAGAGGCAGAGTCCACGAGGCTTTCTGTAAAGCAACAAAACCACAGGAGGTGTCTGAAGAGGGTCCCTGGACTGCAGACTGCCAAGATGAAAGGAAGGGAGTGCTAATACTGCTGTTCTTGGTGGAATTTCCAGTACTGTGGAGCTTTCTAGGAGATGACAGTATCCTCCTGCACTCATTTCCTTTTACAAATACAGTAAAGTGCAAAATTGGAGTATTCGAGCTTGATTTCTTACCCACTCATATCAGGACAAAGGAAGCAGTGGCTTTTGTTCCGAAAGACAAGAAAGAAGGTGAAATTAAAATTATGGGGGTAGCACAAGCACATGAATCAGTTTGTTCCCCTCTCCTCCACACTAAACCTGCAAGGGGCTCCAGAAGCAGCTCAAGTGACTGATCTCCTACCTGCCCAGAAGGATAGTAGGTCAGCCAGCGCTCCAGGTGAGTGGAATACCAGCCAGGGAACAGACATCGGCTCTGCAGGTTGCGCAGTTCCTGAGGGGCCTGGGATTTCGCAGAGATCACTTGGTAGAAGGTGTAATTGAGGGCCACGGGGTCGTTGTGAGCACGCTGGTGCTGAAAAAAAACCACAAACTGAATTCAGGAGCAGGAACACGATTCCACCTTACACTTCTCAGTGCAGACCCCCACGACTCAGCACAGCCACGCACCAATGCCTCTGCACCTGAATCTGTCCACACCCTGCAGGGAACCTGCCTCCTCTAGGGAAGCACATCCATGAGTTTCTGCCTCCCCCCACTGAAATATCTCTGTGGCCCTTACCCAGAGCACAGTGCAGGGAAATTACCTGATACCATGAATAGGCTCGGTCAGCAGGGTTGATAAGAACAGTAATGATTTTGGCTCGAGGCAGCAGGGCTGCACCACGTTTTGGTACCACCTCTGTGTCAAAGTAATTGGCACTCTTCTCAAACATGAAGTCTGTGCTGGCATTGGAGGGAATGGGAAAGAATTCCATGTACCTGCCAAACAGATGAGATGCTGGTGAGCAGCATGGCCCAACAAGAAAAGGTACAGGCCACAATGCCCTTACTCCTCTTCAACAGACGCAGCTGCAGCACAACTGCACCTCCCCAGTAATGCAGGGAATGGGCAAAGGAGTGCAGATCTGGCAGAGGCGTGACTCAAAAAGGGGTGGTGGCACATGACAAAGAAAGTTGAGAAATGATACAAAGGTAAGAAAGTATTTTGCCGAGAGTGTGTTCCCCGAGTCCCTGGGCAGTGGAAGGAAAAACCTGAGGGTAAGGTCCCAGTTGCAAGCTTTAGCAGGAAAGACATTTTGTCCAAAAGTAAAGTCAGAATCATCTGCCTGCCTTGTCACCAACCACTTGCTCAAGCCTGTCTAAAGCATTTGTCTCTTTGTACCTCCGTCCATAGCTGAGGTGCAGGGTAAAGAGCTCTGCCCTGCCTCACAGAAGCTTGTCAAATTAGTAACATGGAAATAGTAAGATATTTGAATAACAGGGTAAGAGGGGCTGGGGACTGTGAAGCACTGGAAGGCTGATCTGTGTAACAAACGTAAATCTAAGCTGTGCAACAAACGTAAATCCGTGTGAAATACAAAGATTCTCCCCTTGTATGTGATCTTACACTCAGATCAGTCGGGATGCTCAATCCAGGGGATGCACATAAAAGCCTTTAACCTGTCAGCTAGTGCAACTGCTCTGTAGTGCTTGACTCTTGTGAGCTCTGCTCAAGTACTAACCATCTTCCAGTATCTTTTCAACAGTCCTCTAAATGACTAGAGAAGTTAATCTTCCACAACTCATGGGTAAAGAAATCCCACAGCAGAATGTCTTAATGCCACACAGCCATCCCTCAAAGCCACGCACAAGGGAGGCCAGTGCCACTGTCAACCAAAGCTACTGCTTTGAGTATGAAACACCTTTAAACTTCCTCTCTGGAAACATAGTGGCGTAACAGTGCCATGGTGTCACTAGAATTTTCCTGCCAGGTAGAAACTTCCACAGGTAAACACCAAGGTATGCATATGGACACTGGAGCCAGCACAAGGAACACAGTGGTGCCTCTAAGTGTCAAGGCCCGAGAACAATAGCAAGGAGGTTGTCCCCTCCAGTATTATGTGTTTTAACTCTGAAACCATGAAGAACTTTGTAATGAGAACACTGCTATCTATTTTGCATGTCAAAGTAAAAGTAACTTCATGACAGCAATGCATTCAACAAAAACTCGCTGAATTTTTAAAACTAAATCATGCCTACAACTCTCCTGGTGAAGAGTCAGTAAAATGAGAAACTACCTGTGCTGCTCCTGGGACTACACAGTTGGGTTACCAGGAAAACAGAAAGCATGCACTGAGTAATAGCAAGGAAAACAGTTGCTCAGAAACAGAGAAGCTGCTAAGGAGGATGAGGAGGACATACAGAGAGACTCAGGAAAAGGCAACATGGGTGCACCATATCACAGAAGAACATGTGTCAGGTCTCTTACCAATCAATTCCTTTGTGATAGTTGGGGCCATTAAAAAACTGGATCTCCTCAAATGTGGATGGACTTGGGAAGTTACTGGTGACAGCTGGATGCATGGTCAGGAAGAAGTGCACAGCTGTTGTACCTGCAACAGGAACCAGTTAACGGGACCTGGGTCACACAATGTTTTGGCTCAATTAAAAGCTTTACCTACACTGCAAGAAACAGTTCCCACTGGGCACACTCCTCTCCTGTGTAGCTGACCAACCCCATAACTCGTGCAGGTTACAACAGCAGTGACACCAAGCACTGATCAGTCAAGTTCAATCCACATTTGCAGGCAGCTGATTTGAGCTGCCCCCTTTGCAAGACAGCTGCCACCCACGTCAGCTACCCTGCTGCTGTGGCACAGCCACACTGGCACGTGGCAGAACCCAAACCTGTCACATGAGAGGTGACCTGGGCAGGAGGTGTGCTAGGGACAACATTAGTGTCCTGAGGTGAAAACTCTGCCAGAGATGCCTTGGCCTGCCTTTGCTGTAGATGTTTTCCCTTTACCCCAAACAGCACATGGCTGTGGGTCTCCAGCAGGACAGACAATCAGCCAAGGGAAGGGTTTTCTTACTGAGCCACCTGCAACCAGCCTGGGTCGTGATACAGGAGGGTTCATGCTGTGCACACTCCGTCTGAGCTTCCCAGGAACACAGCCAGGGGACAGCAGCTTTCCTGGGACAAGCTTTGTTCCAAGTCCAGGGCCACCGTTTGCTGTGCATAGTTGGTACTGCTGTTGCACTGCATTACACAGAAAGCCAAGGCTTGAAGACCTCGTCTTAGCTGAAGAGATGTTGCTCTCTTCAGCCTAGAAGGGAACTCATCAGTACAGTATATACAGCTGTCACTGCCAACCACAATGCCATAGCAGTTAAAAAGTGGTGACAGAGACCAGACAGGAGTTTCTCTCCCTCCCAATGACAGTGACATGGAGCATGCAGTGGGTACACAGATCTGCAGCAATAAAAGCACTAGGGGACATTCACTGTAGCTTTGCTAAGTGTATGTGCTGCTGACAGCCTATGTTTGTGACACACCAAGGTCACAGGTTCTCTGAGCTTACATGGAAAGCCAAAACAGGTAGGGCAAGCCAAGCACAGTGCCGGGGGGAAAAGTACTGACAGACTTGTCAGATTTAGGTTAGAACATAACTGAGATTGTCTAAAATGTCCTCTGTGGCCATTTGGCAGCTTGCACAAAGGGCAGGCAGACAGATCTACAGCACGGATTTCCAGCTCTCTCCAAGAGTGAGATGGAAGCCACAGTCTATATAACAGTATTCACATTACCAGTTTTCTGAGGTCCCACGATGAGGAACTTGGGGAGTCGATCACATGTTTTCTCTTTGGACCAGATATCCTTGTGCCTTTTATCATCACAGGGATTCTGTAGCACAAGTGATGAGATTAAGCATTACCACAGGAGGCAATGGCAAAGGGAGGAAAAGCTGGAAGGGCCAGTCCTCTCGGGAAAATGCTATTAGCATATGAAGAACTCTTCAGAGCCACACTGCTGCTCTGCCAGGCATCAAGAAGTGTTAAGTAAAAACACTGGGGACTATTTTCAAAAGCTCCAGTGACACGGGATCCAAAGTCCCTCTGAGAGTGTTAACCACAGGTCTTGCCCTATGTAGCCATACTGGGCTGGGCCACCATAACAGCACAGCTCAGCATCTGTGAACTTCTGGCAGACAGACAACTCTATCACCTTCAGTTAATTTCATCTGCTCATTACCATGCAGAGAGCTGCTGCATTGGGATAAAATGGAATAAGCATGTTTTTATTTAATGAACATGAATTCTGCAGTGTGAAATTACTTTGAGATTAATCACATTAACATGCCTGCAAGCTCCTCCAGCACCAAACAGGCTCTTGCTTGCACACTTTACATTTCACAGCAGCTTGCTCTAATACAAGCCCTTTAATGATCCAAATGCCTGCAAGCTGGCCTCTGGTCATGTATAAGAGTCATCCCTGTCCCTAAGCTCACACTGTGACTGTGTCCTACTGCTCCTACTTCCCATCCCCCTCCACCTTGCCATTTGCCACAGACAGTCTGAAACAACAAAAGTTAAATCTAAAAGCTTTATGCTTTACCCCACTGCACTGTAGATCAGCAGTCTTGCTACACTTCAAAGGTGGAATACACCTCTTAGAAAATCACTAGGAGCATTAAAAGCTGCCTTCTCACCTGCCATAAGGGATTTTTCTCTTGTGGGAAGATTTCAAAGTACTTTTTTGCAAGTTGGACTGGAGGCAATGTTTGCAGGCGAAGGTTGGTCCAGCACTGCACAAACTTGACCAGGCTCTCAAAAGTGTACAGTCCCAGACGGTCATTCCCATAGTTGGATAGGTGGGTCATGAAGATGCTTATCTGAAATAAAAAAGACATGGGATACTGATAAATCAGGTACAACAGAAATGTTTCTGCCTAGCTTGTTTCCATGGTCAGCAAGAGGCTGTTCACAACTCAGACTGCCATGGCTGTCTGTCAGGAAACAGTGCTTGTAAGACAAGAAGAACTCGGGAGAGGAGGGTAACAGACCTCTCAGTAATCCCTGGGAATGGTGCAGGGGTGTGATAATTGAACCCTGTACGTGAGTCCAGAACTGTTTCAAAATCCCATTCAAGTGGCTCTAGGACATTTAGGTGAACAAGACTTAGTAACTCCCTACTAGTCAAAAACCTTGCAAACCCTCTTTCACAGGAAAACAGGAGCTTGCCTTCCTCTCCCCAAGGCACAACCAGGGCAAACTCTTGAGCTGCAGAATCTGCTACAGCAGGGTAGCAGGCCAGGGAGGGTGTATCACACTGCAGGCCAGGCCATACAGCACAGGGATGGTTGTCACAGGAGTTCTTCCTGGGCCCACAGCCCATCAGCTTTCATTCTCTTTGGAGCTGACATCTCAAATGTAAAGGAACAACTGGCAACTCCCACTTGAAAATATAAACAGGTGTATCTGGAGATCTGAACAGAGACTGCAAAGAGACACTGCACTAGGATGGTGTCCTAGAAACAGACACCAGCTGCTAAGTTTTAGCCTGCAAGAACCTTCAGCACAGGCAGCCCCTGAAAAATGTCCTGCCAAACTTTAACATCCATGGGCGAAGTGGCACTCAACAGCCATGGCAGCTGTCTCAGCACTGCAGTGCTCAGGAGGTTGTGCACTATCTCTGTCTTGCCAAGCCATCTCTCCCCTCAAGCAGATATATTTTCCTCCTGTCAGTTTTTCACTAGTTTAACTTTTGGAAAAGAGTGTGAAGGACTCTTGTCAGCCTAACTCTAGTGTGTGGTTTTGATATGCGCCATGGAATTCAGCATCTCAGTGTCCATAACACAATGGCACTTTGCCAGACATAAACCACACCATGGCTAGAAGTTAGAAAAACAAAAGCAGAACACTGAGGCCGGTGGAGGAATGGCTGATTTAGCACTCCTTGCCCAGAGTCTGCAAGTGCAGGGAGGGAAAATGACCTCAGTCACAGCAGGGGCACCCATTGCAGTACAGTCCTGGGTTCAATTCTGGTGACACCAGGTAAGGTGAGGAGGCAAGGACAGGCTTCCCTGGCAGGGGGCAGGAATGGCTTTCCCACTCACAGTAGGAGAAGAGCAAAATGGGGAAGCAGGAGACAGATGGTCTTGGGATGAAGACATTTGTTGGCACTGAGGAAGTCTGAATTCAGTTTTCTGCCCAGTGTCACCATGGGCTGGTCTCAGCAAGAGAAGAGGTACTGATAGTAGCTCTTTGTGCCTGAGCCATTCCCAATACAGTGTGAAACAAATTCTGTCCATAACGTGCTCACAACCCAGCATCTTAGGGTAGGCAACAGAAAACACTGGTAGAACTCTGGGACACATGAAAGTAAGTGGAGATCAAGATTTATCATGTTTGTCTGCCTGTGAGTTTTTCACTTCTGGTTCCCTACTGAGCTGACAGAGAGGCCCTGCCAGACAGGCTCTGGCACCTACACTTCAAAGAGCAGCATGTGCTTGGTGCTGTTACGTAAGAAGGATGTGCTAAATACAACACAGAGCAGAGGACAGAAAGATCTGTGTAACTGCAAGGCATGGTGGAAAAAGGATGCATCTCATGTTATATTTTGCTCCTTTCTGGGAGACATCAGGAAGGTTCTGTGACAGCAAAATGTGCCTCATCCCTTTGACTTGCTGGTGAAATACGTAGAGGAAAAATTTGCTGCATGAAGAGTCTGGCTCACTGGCACAAATCAAATACTGCAGCAGGGAGGACAAAAGAGACCACCTGGGACCCATTCAAGAGTTCCAGAATGAAAAAAAACCAGCCTGCATGTGGTCCAAGTTAGCAACGGTGTCTCAAGACTGACTACATTAGGTAAAATGGCTCACACAGGTAATGCTGCCACCTGCAAACAGTCCCAAGTAATTGGATTTGGAAGAAGAAAAGACAAACCCAGCCTATGAACCATTTCCCTGGACTTGTGAGTGTGCAATCACAGCCTGTAACATGTGCTGTTTAACAAGGTCTGGCAGCCTGCTCTGCCCCATCACAGCTACTGCTGCCAGAACAGCTCCAGCACGACTTCTGACATAAGCTACACTCAAGGGGCATCTCCCTCCCTCCCTCCCTCCCATCCACACCCACTGACTCTGCAGACTGACTTTGAAATAATATCTCCCTCCTCTCCCCTCCCTTCTAGTGTTAGTGTGCTGTGATTTCCCTTCTTTCACACTGAGGAAAGCTGAGAGCAAAGATCCCAGAGAGCCTGGCATACAGAAACACAAGGGTACGAGCACCCTTGCAATAACAGCAGCTGTGGGCACAGCAGTAAGTGGCCCGTGCAGTGTGAGGAGAAATGTTTGTGAGAAGCAATCAGCCTGCGCTCAGGATCAACAGCTATTGACATCAGACCTTGTTCACTAGTCAGAAGATCAAACATCTTCTGTTTGCACTGTGGAGTTAATTACACACACGCAGGCTTGGAGACTCCTCCATGTCACTTAACGGGAGCTGGAAGCAGCAGAAAGGACTCAAAGAGCCTGGTCCAAGTCTGCTACGGATCACTGCTGGGGCTGCAGAGCTGGCCAGCTTTCTATCAGGCCCCTGAGATGGCTCTATCAGCAAGGGGAGGAATGCAAGGTCTGAGTCACTGTGCAAACACGAGAGGAGCTTAGAGCACAGCACTCTGCCCTGACAGAGAGAAATGCTGTGCTGCCAAAAGGAAGCAGAAGTGTAAACATGGGAAGCATCCGAAGGTGCCTCAAAGAGTTTTAAGTCACCACGAAGAGCGAACAGTAAATATGGCAAATAAGCTTGTTCTGTATGAGAAGACAATTTTCCCAAATGTTTTTGGATCACAGATTACTGCCAGCTGCTTCGACCATCACATCTTATCAGCAAATTTTAATGGGCAGTCCTAGATACTATATTTCTATTAATTCTTTGGTACAGCCTCCTAGATCAGTAAAGATCTCTGGATTACAGCCTAGCAACTGGTTCTCCAAGAGAGACCTATAGCCTTTACTTTCTCAGAGGCTGTTTCTGCATGCTTCAGGATTTGACAATTACAGAGTGGAGCAAGGTGCACTTCACCCAGCATATGGGAACACAAGCCCAGGAAAGAAATTATCAAGAGAAAAAAGCAGTTTCTTTCTATCTGACTAATCACTCCATACGTAATGCAAAGAACAACCTCCTCCTTACTTCAGACATTTATCAAGCAGGAAGGTTTGGCTGTGGTATGTAAAGAAAACAATTTTGTCTCAGGCAATAGGGACAGAAGGCTGCCTTCCAGACCTGAAAGTATAAACTCCTACAGCTTTTTAGCTGGGGCTGTCATAGACCCACAGCTTCTGCAGATCCTACACAAGCCAGAGCTGGTCACAGGCTAACCGTCAGTAACACCAGGCCTGTTTGTCAACTACAGACTGTCTGTCTGGTGCACCCAGAGCACACTGTCAGAGTCTTTTCACTATCAGTTCTACTAAACGCTAAAAAAAGCAACAAAGGAAAAATCAAGGTCGAAACGTGAAAAAGAGGCTGATTTTCTGATTTGCTGGTCTTCTACAGTCCCAACCAAAAGTGACTAAAACTACATATTCAACCCTGCAATTAAGGTGCAAAAGAAAGAGGGAATGAGAGAAAACATCACGGTGAACAATGTCACTGGTGTTACATGAAAAAATCCCACGAACAAGTACTCAAGGACTGGCACCAGTACTCCAGGATTCCCCCTAGGAAACCATGCAGAACCAATGTACTTGCTCCCAGATCTCCCTGCACGGATCCTTGTCCATACTCAGCCACTGGTGGAAAAGATGTATAAAGGAGAAGGAAGGTGGTAGAAATGTTGAAGTCATGAGAAAAGGCTAAGAATTATTATATTCAGGAGTAACTACAGAGACAGACATTCTAAAATTATTGTCTAAACATTGCATGGCAATGTCTATTCAGAGAAATGGAGGACAAGCACCTGTGGCTCAAATCAGCTTTAGTAAGAAAGAAATTCAGGTGGGGAACTGAGAAAGTTGCTGTATCAAACACAAAGAGCAGCATGTCTTCCTGCTGTAGCCAACAAGCACAAATAGGAGGGCGTGTGATCTGTGATTGAAAAGGGCTACAAAACCTCATCTCTTGATTCTACCCATTCACAATTTTCTAAAAAGAACCAGGGTTTTTTTTCTGTCTCTTGCCTCCTAATACACCATCCCAGCCTCAGTGGGAAGTGAGAAACTCATGTGATGTGCTGTCCTTGGCTCTAAGAAGGGACTGCAGGGTGTTGAAGATACTACATTAATTTAGTGGCTTAAAAGACCTGTCAATATTGAAAGAAAAGGAAACACCTCTGTTAGATCCGTATCTCACAAAAAAGCCTCAGTGTAACAGCTACATCACAAAAACAGGACACAGAAATCGTTTCAAGTGTCTACATATTGAAAGAAAGAGAAGAACACTTCATAATGAAAGCCCAGCAAAAGCAATTATTGTGAACAAAACTCATCAGTAAGGCAGGGGAGAAGCCAGCAGGCAGCACATGTGCATGGGACAGAAGGAGCCAAGGCACATCTCACTTGTGATTTATGAAGACAGAGCAGCCCAGGTAACACTCCCTGTGCTGTGGCCCATGGTCAGTGTCCCCCTGGCTGGTTTCTGTCTGAGTGTTGCACCTTTCACACACTCCATACTGATGCTCCCTTGGCAGCGTGTAAAGCAAAGCATCATTAACCAGCAAGTTCTTCCTTGGCCCTGCATTTCCCATCTCCTTCACAAAACACAAGAGATACCCACACTGTGATGGGGGTGACACTGAGTCACATAAGCTGGCACAGCTGTGCACAAATTCTCCTTTCAGATAAACTTACTGGGTTCAGAAGCACCGTCAGGAAGAGTTCACCACCACGAATGCTCTTGTCCAACTCCTTTGAGCCACCAGGATATTCATTATAGAAGATAGTGTGAGTAAAAAGACCACAGGTCTGTCGAGGCAGAACCTGGCAATATCAGAAAAAGACAAAGTTAGACAAGAGGCAGATGCAGCAGCATCTGTGTGAGAATGAGTCCAAGCAGCACTTTATGGATCAATATAAGGAGTAAGGGGTGTAAGTGACAGAGGTGTAGAGGACTCTTGCTATTCCTCTCAACCACTTAACTCATCACACTGTGAACAGGCCACTAGGATTTCAGTTCAGTCTCGACGGGCTTGGTTTTGCTCTCCATGCAGTACTGATCTTGAATTGTTCTGAGAAACACAGAACTGGCTTTAGCCAAGTTTCTTTTCTTTGCCTCACTTAATGATTTTGGAAATACTGGTGATATTAAGATTAATGTCTCTGATGCAGGTCATGAGAAGACCATTCCCTGAGCAGGCAAGTGGACTCTGCTGTGCTCACCATGATTCCATTATGGATGAATCCACGTCGGTACCGGGCAGGCCGGAGGTGTGGGTATTCCTCTGTGCTTGTTACTTGGATGCTCCAAACAGATTTCCATGCCTCATAGAGTTGTGTGTGGACAGGATAAACCCCAGAATGATGGGGGGCTACAGCATAGCCCAAGTCTGTGGGAATCCCATGCTCCTGGAAGCAGAATACACAACTTGATAATTCGGTATTTAACTAATAGCCTTAATAAGGATCACATTTAGCAACAGCATCCAAATTGGAACAAGATGACAGAGGAACATGAAAACTCTCTGGATTGAGAACTGAAATACTGCTTATACTTCTTGTTTTATTCATCTGTAGAAACATAAGGGCAATTCCGTACCAACAAGGACATTCAGCACTGGTAACAGCTGCTGTAAGAATGGTGTTGTAACTTACAGCTGTGACAGATCAGATTAATTCAAAACCCTCAGGTCAGGCTCCTTGGTTACTACAACCTCATCAATGCTGTTAAGTGACACATCTCACTCCCACAATGCCTAGATGTGAGTCACTAGAGAAGGAAAACAAAATTTCCTTAACTGATATAGAGGAAAGGAAATGACTGGGATCTGTATTGTCTCTAGCAAATCAAAGAAAAGCAGACATGGAGTAAGAGACTATTGCAGGTGAAGATATGGGGCCTGGAGCTACATAAAAATGCCAGGAAATTTCTGAATTTCTTGGGTTTTAATTCCACTGTGTGGTTCTGGCACCAATATCAATGATGACAGCTCTGCCCTGGTGGTGCATGATAAAACCAGAGCCCCTAAATGAAGCAATAACCTTCTCTGACTGCTAGCCTGTTTTATGTTAAATATGTGTAATTGTGTTCTGTGCTTTGTCTCTCTTTGCAAAAGACTGCATTGTTATTTAACCAGGAAAAGGAGGAGCCTAAATTGTTTCTATAATGCTGTGACTGTGCTCTGCATTCAAGATCATTCCTAATCTATGTGTTTCACAGGAACACAAGACAGCAGTCCGTTATTCCCAAGGGGATTACCATCAAAAGAACCAAAGTAGAGGTGAAGAGGACATTTCTTTTCAGTGAAACATGTATGCTATATTCAACTCTGAGCTGTAAGAACCAAACACACATTGTTCCATCAATGCAGGATGTTCAAGGCTTCCCCCTCCTCTGCCAAAACCCAGGGAATTTTCCTCTGTGCTTCTTAGATAAGTAACTTCCTTCAACATTGTCTGTAAGGCCAGAAGAAGGGCTGTTAGCAGACAGAGCATTTTATACTACACCAGGTGACTTCCTTACACAACCATACTGAATAAGGATGGAAAAGGAAATGCTTTCTCACTGCCAGAGTTTGTAATTTAATTGCATTTGGATGGTAATGCTACAAGTTCACACCTCAGGAAACAAGAGTCTTGGGATTTGCACCCTGGAATGTAGCAGAGCTGCCTGGGGCCATGCAGGTGCTAGGAAACATTTCCCATAGCACAGGCAAGCATGTGAATGGTGTTTCTTGCCTCAAGACAGCAGGAGCCACACATCAATCTGAACTTCCAGAACTGCCTTGCTTAAATGCAGCTGAATTACTACACTAGTATTTGGGTTCAATGGGGTCCAAACAGCTATGCCAGGAGAAAAATGTGTAAGGATTAACACTGAAAAGTAAATAAACTGCAATGCTCCCTACCACAGCAAACTGCTTGTTGAGCTTCATCTGCTCAGCCAACACAGTGACATTGTGGAAAAGATGAGGCTGCATGTGACTCCACATATGAGGGAACCACCAGAACTCCTTCCTGTGCTTGAGCAGCATGTCATCCCCTTCATCTTCCTCATCTGTACCTACAGAAAACAGAAAAGGAAGTGCAAAGTTAAGAGGCAGAAGAGGGGCTCAGTGTTTAAAAGCAGTATTTAAAAGCAGTGGCTAATCCCCTCCCAGCAGAGTCATGCTCTCTCTACTGCTTTACACACAACACACCCCAAGGTGGGGGCTGTGTGCAGGTGCTGGGACAAAGGAGTGTCAGGGGCTTACCTGTGTGGTAGAATTTCCCTGAGAAGCCCAGGTTGAAGGTGAAATTTGGGACTAAAGTTCTCAGCTTATTCTGGGTGCTCAGTAAAGCCTGTTTGAACAAAAGGGAAAAGAAATGTTCATATTCATATTTTTTCCTCTGTAACATGTCTCTGTGTTCTACTGGTGCCCAGTTGAGTCTGAAGAGGTGTCACAGGAGATGGGGCTTAGGCATTGTTTCCCTTGGAGAGCACAGAAGTGCTCCTCATACACAGTCTTTACTTGCAGCAGTTCTGCTGTGCTAAATGATGCCTCTTTAAAACCACAGTCAGATCATGCCCTCCACTTAATTGTGAGGGACCCAGAGTGTCTGTGCTAAGGCAAAAGGACAATATATCTTACTTGAAAGCAAGAGATTCTTTACACTTTACAAGCACAGGCTCAGTGCTCCCTTCCTCACCCATGTTGGCTGGGACTTTGCTAATGAAACTCTGTCCCTTCTCAGTCTATGTGCCAATGAAAAGGAGGATGGGGCAGCCTATGGTACACAAATGAAGGAAATGAAATCAATAATATCATGAACAGTAACCAAGCCATCCAAAGGGAGGGGGCGTTTATTTGGAGAGGAAAGGTGGATTCTCAGAACTACCCATGCACCGAGTCCTGCCACAGCAGAGAGGTATCACTGACTTTGTGTTCCCTTGAAAGTGCCAAAATTTTGTACCAGAAGTTTCCTGGATTCTGGGAAGAAAATCTGGGAAAGCCAACATTCACAAGCCTCACATTTCCTACAGGCTCTCTCGTGCTCACTTGCAATTACTTTAAATATCCGAAGTAATTGCATTAACCAAAGGGAAGGTGCTTTGTGCACGAACCTCAAGGTCCAGCAGTGCACAGATTAAGACAGCACACAGCCTTGACAGAAAAAAAACAAACCAAAAAACAAAACCCCAGAGGCTCAGTGTGTCACAGACAAGTAGGACACGAACTAATTCTAGTCAAATTTCTTCTGCTGGAAAACGATAAAAAGAGAGAAGCCTTGAGACAAACACTCTGCTGCTACCTGTGTGCTTTGGGGAAATGTCACTGGTGCATTTCTCTGTGGGAGAATTCTCAATCAAACAGAGGGTGGCAGGAGGGCTGTTGGCAGGTGACACAGTCCTTGTCTGGGCTATTTAGATTTTAATAGCTTTTCTCAGAAAGCAGTGGATCCTTGGCTGCACCAAGGTGAAGGTGATGACCTCTCAACAGCAGACTTTGGCTGGATGTAATCATACAGGAAACATGGAATATAACTCTGGGGAAAGAATACAGACCTATCAAACTGTGTAGGGAAGATGGACAGATCTTCCTGCATCAGCAGCCCTTCCCCAGTCCCAAGGAGCACAAAGCAGCACTGCAAGGTGCCCTCACATAGCTCACACCCCATAGGCACTGTCTGGGTGCACCACTCCCCCAGCAGTGAATGTGCACTCACAAAGGAAGACTCTCAATTCCATGGAGGTGCCTTGACACCAGCCTCTTATGGATAACCTGGCAAATCACTTCTGGCACTGATGTATCAAACCAGAGTTAACCAAACACTGGTCATCACATCAATTTTAAAATGGCTTCTATAACTCACTTCAATCATCCATTCACCTCAAACATATGTTGAGTGGTTTTACACTCAAGGCAGGCAGTCCATGACCATGGCAAGGTGGGAAGACAGACAGATTACATGTGCAGTGCTACAAGACACTCTCAGTGCTCTCTGTGAGGGAACCAAGCTTTCAGACTTTTCCCTACAGACACACTTCATTGTTCCTCATTCCCATATCCACACAACAGTGACACCAAATGCAGCCTGGGACAAATTTCAAAGATTTCAGCTTTACCATGCCTATCACATCTTTACCTCAGTCCCTACCCAGGAACAGTAATTTGATAAATGCAAGGCATGTGTTCTCCAGAACCTATCACAAATACAGGCAGTGCTTTTAAAAAGCGACATGCCAGCAACACTGATGGCTGAAGCCTCCTTTGCAGTACAAGATCCAGAACAGGAGGTCAAGTTCCCCTGATGCAGCCCAGCAAGACACTGGGACTCACCCCACACATCAGGGAGCACAGGCTAAGAGCTGTGCATCTCTCCTCAGAGAAACATCGACCTGTCCTGATGATGGTTTACAAGATCACTTCATATTTGGGACCAGTACCTTGAACACACCACCTAGTTAACTCAGACAGGAAAATGTCACTCTTTTCTTTCTCCAGAGCTGTCCCAAGCCCCAGCATTTCCCTCTGCTGCCCTGAAAGGCACATCCAGTTCCCCAAGCTTGGGTAGGAAGTGGTGGGAGGAAAGACAGCAGTTAAGAGGCTTAGCATTCCTCTGCACAGAAAGAGATTTAAAGCTGGCTGAGGTTACCATGACAACACATCTGTCTGATAATAAATCCCAAAAAGCCCTGCTCCAGCAGGCTGCAATCCTTTGTGTCCGGGGAGGGACTAGGGAGGAACTATGTGGGCCCCAGAAATTCAGAGACTATGGAGTCCTGCTTTCCTGGCAGGTTTACTGTGAATCATGTGCCATCCCTCTGATGCTGGGTCCTTGGCACAGTCACAGCTGTAAGGTGACACAGCACAGGTTTCAAGAAATACCGTTCCCCTGAACAGGATAAAGGAGACTAACGTACCAATATTTGGATATTTGTTTCATGCATTCTGTGTTCCCTGGTTCCACACTGGTTCCAAGAGGTCTGTAAATTGCAGGAAGGTGCAATAATGCAGGTGTGGGAACAGGCTGGAAGATGGCACTTCTCTCTGCACTCTCTTTCATAAAGTAAGATGAATATGATAGTACTAATCATATCTAACAGGTGATTCAAGTGGCATTTCATTTGTATCCATAATGTGCTCTGAGACTCTTAAACAAAAGGCAATCAAGAAATGTGGAGCAGGCTACCCCTTAAGAGAGAAAACAGGCAGCCAGATGTGAACAGATCTTCATTTGCATTTTTAAGAAGTTCAGTTGCTCACACAGTATGAGAGAGGACTAGCATTTTAGCTATACCTCACCTCTAAAAGGCAGACTTTATTCCCCTAGAAAACTGCTCCTCAATCCATCCAAGTATCTCTTTTGATATTTTTTGTCTGTTTTTATTTCAAAAAGCCTTCCAAGATACAAGCCTGCCCACTAATTAGCCAGAAAGGCCCCTGCCCCAGCTACACTCCCTGCTAGAAGCTCTGCAAGGCTCACCCAGCAAGGCACTGATAGGGTCTCCAAAGGGATTCCCAGCACCGGCCACAGGAATTCTTAAGCCACTCAAGGCCAGACCTGCTTCATGCTTGTCACAGTCTATCAGAGCATTCACTGCCATGCACAACCTGTATTTTGGGATGCCTTTAGTACTTAACTGTGGCAGCCATGCTGCAGGCCCAAGGGACAGAAAACTACATTCCAAAGCACATTCCTGGACACAACGGTAAAAATGTCTAAGCTTCACTCTGATGTTCAATGCCTGCCATTAAAGCATATTTACTTCTAAGCAAATGTTAGGGGAAAACCATTTAAAATTGTGCCTTTTGTTGCAGTACATTAAAAATCTGTATCTCACTGACAGATCTGCAAAGATTTCCTCAACAGTCAATACAAGCTCTTGATGTCATCCAGGGAAAGAAAATCTCTCCTCATTCTAGGAGTGAAGAGGAAATCAGGCAAAGTCACAGCACTCTGACTGTATTGGGGGCTTCTTTAGGACCTAATCCTTTTTTAAGATAACAGGATGTCCTTGGCATTAGAGTAATACAGGGCTAAATTTTAATGCAACTCTGCTTTTTGAGCTACTAAATTTTTAACTTCCAGAAGTATTTGCAGAAAATTTAGTTGCTCTACACAAACCTTAAATGTAATCTATCTCAGCTCCCTCTAACAAGAGGCAAAAGAAAAGGGGGAAATAATTCAGATGCTGGGAAAAGAGGAAAACATGACTCTAAGCAAACAGTACATGGACAAATGAAGAGAAAGAGATGATAAAAAGTGGAGGAAGAAAGCTGAGTACTTCTGCAGCCTCTTCTCAATCCTCATGCAAAGCATACTAGGAACATGTGGCAGCAGCATGGTCTTGGCAGATACTGCCCTGGGCAGTGTGTTCTTGAGAGGAGTTCCTGCAGTTTTTGTATCACCCAGCACTGGCAGAACTCAAAACAACACTGGCAAAAAAGAAAGCTCTCATGATACTGGTATGTCTACTTCCCTGCAGTCTTAAAATCAGGGAGTTAAAAATTGCTGAGTACTTTTATTGCAGGCAAGATCATCCTCTACAATTTAGAAAGGCAAGAGCTGGCTGACAGTCACCCTAACTAGGTTCTTTCTTCTGCACCCTCACCATCCATAATCCAAAATGAAATGACTGTCCTTGATTTTCACTTAGCTTGCTCTCAGACTCACTTGCAATGATTGCTCACTATTTATGCCCTTGCAGAGATTACCAGCAAAAGAGGCAAAAACTCATCTACTTAATCTTCTTTCCTCATACCTAAAGATGACCACAAAGGATCACAAAACCCAGATCCTTTTGCATTAGAAACGGCTTGTCTTTGTTGGCCAGTTCCATGCAGGTTTGGTAAATTCCAAGGATTATGATTTTAGAAGAGACTGAATGTGAATAAGTTGAGAAGAGAAGGGATTCTCTGAGATTTTGTTTTGTTAATTATGTGCAGCTCAAATCTTTGGTAAACTCTGTAAAGGAAAAACATTTCCTTTGTGCAACTTCCAACTGTTCCACTTCTATTGAGCACTGCAAGCTCCTGCTGCAGCCCTTCAGCAGAAACAGGAACTCAAGGGTTATCATCTTTAAAGTCAAAGTAAGCACAATTCCATTTTTTTCTTGTTAAAGAAGAAAGCAATTCGGCTCTCCTTTAAGCATCACAAATAAAAACATTTCTCTTGTGTAAGACATGTACCATGGGCATGTGTTTGATCAAATGATATTCAGTGCTTTCCTTTAATAGTCACTTTGTCTGTGAAGGTCTCTGAACATGGACCTGCATATGGTAAAGAGGCTCACTGGGACAGCAGAGTCAATTTTATACCTTCACACAACATCCAGTCTTCAAACCACTACCCTGACCACTGTAATTTAAGCTTTGAGATAAGGAGCTGTGTGTTGAGATATCAGCCCTGAAACAGAGCTTTCATATAAAAGGCCAAAGAAAATGCCAGCTGTTCTGTTACTATTATATCCCCTTCTCTCCCCACAGTGAGAGACTATCAACAAATCCATGTAGTTATTTCTCGCTTTTAAAAAATAAAAATTCATTAACCTCGTGTGGCTTTGCAATCAGAGAGCTTCTTTTAAATGGATAAATCTGGGTTTTATCTGCTTTGCCTGAGATTCTCTGCTTACTGATCACAGATTATTCCTCCATTTCACCCTGTTAAAACCCAAACAAAGCATCTTTTGGAATAATCTTGTCTGGGCTTGTTTTTACCATCACTAGAGCAGCCTTTGTTCCCAAGAGCTTGGAGGAGTTCTGTCCTGCCTTCTCACATTGAGTCTGTAACCTGCACAAACACTACAGAGGTGAGACTCTGCTGGTTTGGACTAGTGTGACTGTAGGGCCTGCTTAGGACCAAGATAAGATTGTGATCTTTCACAAAAGAAAAAATCTCTTTCAGAACATTTCAGCACTTCAAAACACAGGGACACTACAGTGAAATGAAGAAAAATTTAGCATTTTCCTTAAATACTACACACAAAATACAAAATCTTGAAGTCCTAAAATTTTGGAGATTAACTAAGACATACCCTGTATGGACGCATAAAACCTGTAGAAAAGCTGAAGACTCCTGGGGGAAGAGGGCTTTTGGGAACATGAAACAGACAAGGTTTGGATAAGGGGCCAAACCTGTACAACACTATTCTTCTTACACCTTTGCCTCGAATATTTTGTGCCTTGGATGTAAGTTTAAAGGGTGCTTCACCCTGAAGTTGTTTAGGGAACCTGCTAAAGCAGTTGCTGTCACAGGCTTACCATCATCATGGCTGGTACCGTCCAGGACTCACCTGAGGGCAAGTGCTGAATGGGAATCCAGAGTAAGCACCTATGAACAAGCCCAGCACACCTGAGAAACAGGCAGGGCACCTGCCCCAATGGCTACAAACGACAAGGGATGGGGAAGATACAAAGGAAAGTCCTTGGCTCCATGAAGCCTCACGTGCACACAGATCACAGACTGAACAGAACACTCTATCATGTACTTTCAATGACATGGAGAATCAGAAGGAGCACTTAAGTTTGTTACCTTTTTCCTACTTATTTTTATCTTTGCCTGTCTCAGTTCCCTCTCCTCCACAAAATCTGTCTCTTACCCATAACCTTTCCTAATAGGTCACTGTTTAATTCCAGGAACTGCCAAGGAAAGCAAACCACAAAGCTGGCATCTCTCTTTCTCAATCGTGAGACCACAGAGATGGATCTCATGAAGGCTTAGTCTGACCAAGTTCTCTGGTGAATTTGTTGATATTCCAGCTCAGGGATGAGGGTTGCTGGTGGCAGACAAGAGGAGGGAGCAAAGGGTAAGAGAAAATCCTTCCTTTCCCAATTTAGTTGTGTGTTGAAAAACTAGATGGCAAAAATATAGACTGTATCATTTACACTGTATGGACTGGCCTACAGTTTTTCAATATAATACATACAGCTTATACATATCACAAATAATAATAACAATAAATACATTTTTCTGTTCTAACACAACTTGCCTTTTCTTTTTGAGCAGCAGAATTTACAGCTACAAATAGGTTGGCATAGGAAACCTACATATACTTGGTCCTTACATTAAAGAGGAGACAGGATAGACTACCACAGGCATCTTCCTCTTAAACTGAGAGAGGCCAGCTCCTAAAGTGCTGCATTTAAACCTGCAAAACTGTTGAGAGCATCACACACGGTGCCTCAGCATCTTTGCAGGTTAATTCTCTGTGTAAATGAGCACGACTGCAGCAACTATGCCTTCCCTCAGATGAAATGCCATATACCACACACACCAGAAACCCTGGAGGCATCTACTCTAGGATTTTACCTCTACATCGGACACTTTCATGCGAGTGCCCTCTTTTCCCACAAATATATCATCGATGTCAACAAGGATATAGCGATCAAGCGTGAGACAGAGGCGTTTGCCAGTCAAGTAGGCAATGGCATCCACAAAAATGAGTTTGTGCAGCCAAAAATTGAGGTTATTGCCGAAGAGAACCCGCTGGATCCCATCATGCAGACCCAGGTCCTGCATCACTGTGGCATGCAACGCTTTGTGAGTGGCCAGGTGAGGAATGGACTCCGAGGATTTCGTGCTGGCCAACAGCACTGGCTCATAGGTGCTGTGGTTTGACTGAAACACAGTCCAGTCATCACCAGGCAGAGGACCCTGCTCCACCTCATTAGCCCGGGTGACGTAGAGCAGGGGAGCACTAGGATTGATGTGATAGTCCCGCAGCCCCAAGTTGGAATGTAGGAAAAGGGGGAAACCCTTGAGCTGTGCACTGAGCAGGCTGTTCTCATTAGCTTTGAAAAAGCCTATAATCCCCACTCCATACTCTACACAGTATTTGTCTAGCAGCTCTCGGTTCCAAGCATCTAGATTCACATATTTCAGGATGTTCTCGTAGATAATTAGAGCATAGCGTCCTCTGTCTTTGTCTGTCAGGGTGGGCATATCCCCTTTGCCAGGGGCGATCTCTGTCCTGTATTTAAAGCGGCTGGATTCCAGGATGGCCACTATTTCCTGCCCCAGCTGGGAGTAAATGCTTTCCACAAAGACGAGCACCACGGGATCCGTGCGCGAGGTGTCCACAGACTTCGTGAGCCTCCAGCTGGCCTGCGGTGGGATCAAGATGCGGTGCTGGTTGCTGCAGTCGCTGAAGGGCAGGGGTGGAGGCTCCTTGATTTTGGGGCTGTTAGTGACGTAGTAAGCCAGGATGCACATGGAGATCAGGCTGAAGGCAATGAGCAGCAGGATCAATCTGTGGAGCTCCAGCTGTCGCACGTGCCGCACCACTTTCCACAGCTGAATCATGGTGAGGCGGGCAGCTCAGCCCCTCCTCACGCTCTGCACCCACGCTGGATTGGCGCTTGGGATCTCCAGTGCCGCCCTGGCAGCGCCCAGCAGCAGCTCACAACAAAGAAAGTGCAGCTGCAGAGAGAGAAAAAGCTAAAGCAAACAGCTACAAGGTGAGACTCCCAGAGATCTGCCATTTATCTCAGGTAACCATGGCCCTCAATTCCCATTGCTCTTTTGTGTGCTTCCTCGGGCTCCTCTCCTCTCAATCACAAGTCTTTGGAGGAGCAAGGATTCCAGAATCTTGTCTCCAATAGAAATCAGTCTGTCATTCTGTGCACAAGCAGTTTCAGCTCAGCCTTCCCAGGTGTCCTGTTTCTCATTTAGCTGTTTCACATTCACATGATGGCACCTTCTCTTTGCATCCTGCAATTTAAAAAGAAAAAGTCAATTCTCAGTATGACTTCAGCATTTAACAGGTTTGAGATGAAATGGCAGGACTAGCAGGTGGGCAGCATCACTCACCCATCAGCAGGTCTGTTCCCTGGGAAGTGTCACACCCCATCTGTGTGGAAGCTCGACAGAACAACCACATTGACCTTTGGAAGAAAGGTCCCAACAGTGCACAGCAACTCAACATTCACCTTGGGTGAGATTCTCACACACTACAGCAAACAGAGCCAAGTACCTGGCCTTCCCTCAGCCCTCTACAAGCCACTGAACAGAAAACACAAAACCCTTTTATTCTAGCCTGTATTTCAAAGCTAACAAGAGCAGACAGCACTCTCTGCAAAGTTGCCCCATTTGTCCTGGGAACTCCCTTTCTTCCAGAGGTCTCACAACACAGCTCTGGAGAGGCATCATCCCTCAGGCAGCACAGAGGGCGGGGAGCACAGGCTCCAACACTCTGCACACTTAATGGTTGCGAACTGATTCGGTGGAAGCTGGAGATGAAATATCTCCTGAAACCTTCATCACTTTCTCTCATACACCACCGAAAAACATGAAGACAGTTTTAAATCACCAACAGCACGACATAAATTTGGGTTGGTCTCAAATACATGAAAGCCTCTTGTTATGAAGCTCTCTCACCTCCTGCTTTGTGTTCATGGCAGCAGACTATTTCACCATATGTTGTTATTTTCTCAGGAACAAACGCCCAACAAAGCCAACAAATACCAAATAATCCAAAACAAACACCAGAGAAACTAACTAAATTTCTCCTAGGTTTAAGAATAAAGCAAAACTCACAGTGGAGTCTTCTCTTCCTTACCAGCAGTGTGACTTACCCACAGCAATACCTTGGTGCCTTTCCTGGGATACCAGCACATTTTTGGGGCACACCTGCTGCCTCCCCCAGAACAGTGCAAGAACACCCTCAATACCAGACACTGCTCACAGTGACCCCTCTGTAAAAATTAAACTGCCTTTTTTCTTTAAAAAGCTTTTTCAGTCATTCCCCCAACTCCTGCAGACATGCTCCATCACATACAGACCCTCTACCCACCTGCTCAACTGGCACAGCTTGCAACACCAGGAGGTAAAAGAAAGCAATAGCAAATAATATTACTAAAAGAGAGCTTCATCCTTTCTCCATTCCTCCCATTTTTGAGCTTTCCTGTTACTACCATTCTGATAAAAAAAGAATATGAGAAGACTAGTTTGTCTATGAGTTTAAGGCATACATAAGTTTCTTATATAGTAAAGCCAGGGGTTTCTAACAACTAGCTCCACCAGAAAAGGAACTACTTGTGAGACAGAAGCTTATTTTGCTCCACCAGAATTTACTTGTGAGACAGATGCTTATTTTGTAATGTGTATTACTAGACAGAAAAAAATCCTTTTGAGTCAAGGAAAATATAGATGAGGCCAAAAGTCCCACTCTAAAGACTCCCACCAGGCTGTTTTCCAAACTGTTGGTGCAGCTTGAAGCAGAGACAAGAACCACAAACACATTTTGTATGAAGAGATAAAATACTGCTAACTTTATGGCAGCAGATGGAAGGGAGTAAGAGTGCTCTTTACACAAGCCTTATGATGATCATTAAGTATTATCTCAATTCCTCTGCTATAAGCTCAGCAGAGCAGGGACTGGTTTGTGTAGTGCACAATGAAACCTTAGCCCTGATGAGGTTTTCAGAATAGCTGTAGACTGTCAATGTAAAGTACATCACACAAATAATTTCCCACTAGAGAAACTGAGACACAGCAAAACTTACTGAAAGTTGCACTGCAACACAGCAGATGGATCACGAGTTTTGGTAGAATTACCCCTATTCCCAAGATTCCAAATGGATTGGGGTCTTCATTCCCAAATGGCCCTCTGTAATGACAGAGCTGGCTTTGGAAATCCAGCTCAGGCAGCAACAATAATCTGTGTTTTCTTCAGCACAGACAACTGATCATCTTTCACTTTTGTCTCTACATATTGTTAACTTTGTACTGGAAAAAGGACAGGGCAGAGAAAGTGAGAAAAGACTATGTGAAGATGTAAAAAACAGAACTTGTATAGTTTTTTCTTTTTCTTGCTACTGATTTTGAATATATGGTTCCCCGGGCAGAGCGTAGAACTTGATTTCTCAAGTCAAGCTCAGTTCTTGTAATACACCAGGGATTCCAGTGTATCAGCACAGTACCCAAAACCATGTGCCACCTTCCAAAAGCAACCAGGAAAATAGCCTTTCCACCTCCACAACCAGCTCTTCCCATCTCACTGACTCCAATTACCACCTTCCTGCTTGGCATTACAGCTCCAAAGCTGCAGAGAGGCAGAAGCTGGCAGAAGCAGAAGTCAGCAGGGCAGAGGGGGGTAAAATAGAGACATACAAAAATGCAATATCTTCTTTATGAAATGAATTCTTTGTATGACAGACTAATACACGGCTCCATGCATATCACAATGCTGCAAATATGAGAATTGTTCTTCATTCTACTCCTGTGCAACAAATTCATGCTGAACACTTCACTCAGATTCCAATAATAGTCAATTTTGACAGAGCATTTTGAGAAATCCAAGTTATTGCCTTCCCAAATAAATCACTTAACTTTTGCTTTTCAATCCCACTGAATAAAATAGAAACATAAAAACTATTTTGGATTTAAAGATTCACTGTCTTCACATGTATTAGACACAAAGTTGTTTTTACAGAAGAAAATAATGTAAAGAGGAACTTCAGGAGCCCAAGTGTTACTTCTATGAATTTCCAAGCGATGTGTTGTTTCTGGGGTAGAATTTGTAATACAAACACCAGGGTAATGGTAAGAAAATCAAGAAGATGTTGATTTATGCAAAAACTTGGCAAGGTTCTACTTTTACAACTCTCTATCCCCAAAGCATCAACATGGAAAACACTTCTCTTCCCTGGCTGGACCCATTCATCTCTCCAACTTAATTTTTACTTTTGAACTGACTCTGTTCTGTAAAGAACTGTATCTTCAGTTTCCCAGTTATCAGTTTAAAGATGAAAACCACAGTACAACTGGATTATTCTGCAGAATAAGAATGAAACCAGAGTTTGAGCTAGGCTGCCACACCTGCAGTGCCCAGCTGAGGGGCACCAGGGTGAAGAACCCCCTTTGCTGGGCATTTCTGAATCACAGCAGTGTTTTGATAACAATGATTCCATTCAAGCCTCTAGCGGAGCTCCCAAACAAGCCCCCATTTGTTACATGGGTGAGCTCAAAAAAACAAATTTAAAAAAAAAAAAGGCCTGTATCAGATTGCTGCTCAAGAATCTGTCAGCTCTGATCTCTTTAACAAGGCTTCACAGCCAGAGGGCATGCCAGCTGGCACGGGATGCATTTCTTTCTTTGGGGACTGCATCAGCTGGTTTAGGTTCAAACGAAAAGAGGAAAAAAGCAACAAACAAGTACACCGAACAAAATTTATATTAAAAGGCGAGAGAACTGTCAGAAACCAGTCATACACGAAAAGCTGAGAAATATCTATACTGGAGAAAGAAAAGAAAAACAAGAATTACAGTGAAAAATATTCCCTCTTAAAGGAAAAGAAAATACCTTTGTCCTCTTTTGACATCGAACTCCTGAGAATCTAACACCACAAAAAAACCAGGTTTCTAGGTAAATTGAAGTCCACTCTGAACTCCAGAACTGCCTCGGTGCGAATTGTGGGAGGTGGCAGTCAGACTGAACAGCAAGAATGAAGTGTTCTGAGGTCCAAAGATGCAAGCTCAGCAGGCACCCACACCCATCCTGCCAGAAAAGCATCTCTAGAGCAGAGATTGTCAGCTGTAAGGGCAGTGATCCCACAGATCACGAGAATTAAGACAAAGACTTCATCAAACGGAGGTGTTCTGTTTCCTAATGATATACAGCGTTAATGTGAAACATACACGGCTTTGTGAATTATCAGCTCCTAAGCCACATGGCAAGCAAGATAACAACCCCAACCCTGTGGTTTTAACATCTGATCTCCAGCTATTTCCAGTGCTTGAAAATGATTGTGGGAGATCAGAACAAACGCCCAGCATTTATCCAAAACTACTTAGGTAAGTGGTTTTGACCAGTATATAAGGATTTGGGGCTTCTGGTACATTCATGCCAAGGCATGAAGATACTGGGTATCATCTGACACCTTTATCAAGAAATGTCAATGCATTCCCAGCTGAGCTACAGAAGGTCTTACCACCCAAAACCCAGTGTGACCACTACATTTCCCCAGCCCTTTTCATTATTCATAATAGAATCTCTCCATCTGGAATGCACAGCAGCAAGATCTTGCCTTTGTCCACAATAGCTCTATTTCAGAGGCCTTTCTTCTGCACTTCCTGTGAGATGGTTGTTGCCTTGGGCCCCAGGGGGACTTCAGTAATTGAGTTACACAGTAATCAGAGAAGGAATCTGATTGATTTTCCAACCCATTCCACTTTAATGCTGTCATCAAGACACAAAATTCCTCATTAGTCTGCTCCATTCTGAGACACCACAGCCCCTCTCTTTGTCTGTGGTGGTATCTGTATGCCAGGCCCCCAGGTACAGCCCCTCTCTCACAAAGATGGGGAACCTGGTAAGTAGTGTCAGCAAAACACAGCAAGCCACACAGCAAAAGAATTAGTAGAAAGCTCGGGAGAATGAATGCTGCTTGTATTTCACATCTTGGGGGGGAAAAAATATTGTGGAAATTATAGCCACATTGCAATGAAATTGCCATGCTCATTTTTGGGCTCTGGCCACGTGTTTCAGCTAACATCCACTGTCAGTCGAATCCTGCCATGAGAGACTGCCTAAGGAATACAAAATTCAGATCAAAGATGCAGAAACACTAATGGTGCATATGCTGCTCTGACAGACAGGGCTGCAGCCTCCAGCCAGCTCTGTGTTTTACTTGGGCAAGTCCCTGTGCAGGGAAAAGCCTCTCAGTACAGACCAGTGCTGAGCCAGAAAGCTGCCAGCTGGCCAGCAGGCTT